TTTGGAGGAAGTGGAGAAGAAGAAATGCCACAGTTCATTCAAGAACAAAACTCTTTCCAGTCCTGAATCCTGGGGCCCAATTCTGTTCACATCTTAATCATCCTTTCTCTTTACTTTGGCCATTTCATGGAACCCAGTGAACTGGTTATTCTGAGACTGATTTTGGATAATAACATTTGCATCTGTCATTTGGAAGCTGCCTCTGAAGCCTGTTGCGTGATAATTAACACTTAAGCAGGAGTACAGTGCATGAGATGGAAATGATCTTGTTAATGTATTCAACCTGCCTGCATGTGGCCACCAAACAGAGCCCAGAGATGACTGCTGCTAAGCAATACAAATGCATTATTATGAAGTAATTGGCCACTTGGAAAAGCTTAATAAAGAAGCCAAACTCTACCATGAAAACAAAACATTCTTCAGAGAGGGGAAGGGACTGCAGCTCTTGATGGGCCTGCACTGGCAACAGTGGTCAGTGGAGCCAGATGACGGAGCAAGGCAATGGATTAAGGGTACTTCGTGGTTGGGACTGCATGGGGAAGCAGAGGAACCTGGGGATGACTTCTCATATTTCCTTGGGGAGGCAGCACTGCTTATACTGAGGCAGTGGCTATCTTGGGGCCGTTTGTGCACCGTCAAGAATCCTGTTGCCCTGGGCTGCTTTGCAGGCTCCTAGGCGTCATCACAACACACACAAAGAGCATGAAACCTGGCCAGCTGTGTGGTCAGTGTATGCAGGAGTGCTTCTAGGGCTGAATTTGCACCTTATGCTATGAGACTGACATTTTTTAAAGGCCCCTGAAGGAATTAGGCACTCCAAAACCCACTAATCTGAGTACCTAACTCCCTTAGACTCTTTAGTTCTACAGCTGAGAAGCCCCAAGCATATGACCTCCCTCTTCTTCAAGTGTTAGGGATATTTCAACTAAGAACTATTAAGGGTAAATCTAAAATGATGGATATTTCTTCAGATACATCAGTCTCGTGTACTTTGATGGCCTGAGGCTAAAGTAGAAACTATCAGAAAAGTATTCATTAAAAAAAAAAAGTGTGAAAGCATGGCTCACTTCATGTCCAAAGCCTGTTCTTCTATTCAGTTAAAAAGCTCCAGTTTTGCACGCCACAGTAGTGAGGGAAGGGTTTTCCATTGCGATTAAAAAACGGAAGGTACAGTTCTACCAACAACACCTCCACAGGAAATCCGTCACTCATTACTGAGATGTGAGAGGGTTACAACAGCTTTGTATTGCATAAATATCTGCTTCTTTCTAAGTGTGATGATCTCTGACACTTGGCTCTGAGTCCAAATCTGTGTGAAAGTAAATCAGATGTTGCAGAGACACCATCCATCCTCCGAAATGCTTTACTTTGTTTTCAGAACAAGGGAACAACAGAGTTGCTCTCATGTCTGTGATGAACCCAGCCCTTTCATGATGAACCCATAGAGTGATTTTAAGTGAGCATTCACAAGTGTGGAGGTTGGAAAGCCAAGATTAAAATAATAATAATAATACAAGATCTCGCTAGCCAATGGCTATTTACATCAGTCTTCAACTGTACTGTGTCAGTTCCCTTTCCTTAGGCTTAGAAAGAAAAGAATAGTGACCTCTATTCAATTTTCAGCAGGCTGTAGGACTAACAGTGCCATTTACAAATCTCTAGGCACAGTCATTTAACAGACAGATGCACATGTGTGCACACACGCACCCCCCCCCCCC